CGTGGCAGTGGGCTCAGTACATATTACAGAAGATTCTCTGGTTATTTGCGTTGAGAGGCTTGCACCAAAAGTGCAAGATCGTTTTTTTTTTTTTTTACATAGTTCGGTTGTAAAAAACAAAAAGCTCTATTCAATGCACTCAAAAATTAATATTGGATCGGCTATTCTCACACGATGTTAAGGCCTGTTTATTTTTAATGTGCACAAGCCAAGGGCTTCATCGTCGCACACAAAAGTCCTCAGTTCGATTCCCGTATGGGGATAAATTTTTACTGAGAACCCCCGTCTTTCTGCTGGGGCGTTGTTCCCTCTCAGCCCAGGTTGGCCCTGTCATTGGGTTGAAGTAGGCCTAGCCCGTCTCCTAAATGTTCTGTATTATGTCACTGTGAGTGTAACACATCTACAAAATAGGTTACATACATACGATACAAAAGCCAATCACAACGACCCCTGGAGTTTTCCATTTTAGGGTAATCTAAGTCAACTTATTCTTATTTCTTATTACTACCAGAAACCTAGGTCTCTGTTACTACAATACCACGCTCCCTCTCACTTATCCATTCGCTTAACTGATCAACGGCGGGAAGTTAAAAATAACTTCAGCTCTCTACGCCTTGCACCAAAACAAGCCCAGCCTCTCCCTTCCTCCACGGTTCAAAGTTCACACAGCCAAAAGTACTGCTGTTTGAACACAACGAACTGTCTTGTCGCCATCGAGACGGTCCTACGCCATCGAGCGGTACCGCGGCGTGCCGCTCGCTCGGTGTATCGAGACGGTACAAGTCAGCAGGTCAGGTTTTGAGCTTGTCCTGGGGCAAATCTCTAGGCCTAGCGCAAATCAGTACTGTGTGAATTGTGGGGCTTGTGGCTGCGGACGGGACTTAAGGCTTGCGCAGGCCTTCGATTAATCGAGTAAGCTACAGCGCCACGCCGCGCAGTGACTCTGTGGGCGAGATCTCTCACTCTCCCCCCCTCTCTTTTTCTGACGTAAGTGGCTTCGCGGATTGCAAGCAGGGTGGGGATGATGAGGGGGCCTGACACGAGTGGCTTCGCGGATTGCTAGTTGCTGTGGACTTGAAGTTTAGACTAGACTAAGGAGGTTACAGTTTGCGCTAGACGCAACTTATCATGCTGGTGATTTGATTTGATGATTTGATCTAGTGATTTGAGGCTTGTGACTTGAACTATTGTGAGCACGAGCGGGTTTGCTACCGGGGTACAGCCCTAACACGCATCCAATTCACCAGTTCTACTGCAGGCCTAGCGGTACGATAGACAGCACAAGCAACAAACCGAGGAAATGATGGCTTCCAACAAAGACAAAAAACGAAATGCTTCTCACTCGAATTAGAGGCTGAGATAATCAACGAAGTTGACGTAAAAAGGAAGACTAATTTAAAGCGCAAATTTTATTGATATGGAAGGGATGTAATCATGTGAATTTAAAGAAAATTTTCAATAATTTCCCATCTGCATTCCTATAGCGGGAACTCAGCTACAGAGGGATTTTTCTCCGGGAACCAAAAGTCCCGCTGTAGCCGTGTTCTACTGTATTCAGTTAAAAAGTTTGTTAATATGATGCAAATTGTTATGCTTCAAGAAAAACAAAACAAGAAAAACAAAAGAAGACGATGAATATTTTATTAATTTCTTAAAAATTGTGACGATGATATTGATGGTGAATATTATTCAGTTAAAATACTACATTGTCCATCCTTTTTGAAAACCCATTCAGGGGTTAGCACGAATCCTGTCGTGTACGGGCCGATGACAGTCATAGCAAAACTGGACACTGGCACAATCTGCACAGTAAACAACGTGTCCACACGGTAGGAATCGAACTTCCCGTGGTCGTCTGTTACATGCGCGACATGTGCTTGAGGCTGTCTCGCCCTCTTCTTGAATTGGCCGTGATACTGTGAAATAAAAAGAAAGAAAAGAGAGGGTGAAACGGATTTGGGCTGCCCTCCACAGAGAGGAAGAATTCTTTCAAATCGTATGCATACGCAGACGTACACTCATATGCAAGCACACACACGCATGCAAGCACACAAGCGTACCCGCCTACCCGCACGCAGGCACGCACCTGTCGACCTACCATCTTACCTACAGACAAGCACGCATGCATTTAGACATAATTTAAAAGTACACCCCCCCCCCTATTCCTGACCCACTCTTGTAATAAGTTAAATAGGTTAAAAGCTTTCCTCCCAAATAATTCACATAGCTAGCTCCCCTGAAAGTTCGGATCCCACAATGGTTTAGTAGGAGAGGTAAGTTCCATACGGTGCAGCGTATTTGCGAAAAGTGAGCTCTTCTTAGTTTGTAGTCATTGGAATTAGTTTACCCGTATTTTACTACTTTAGCATTTGGATTTCGATTTCCTTGAGAAGGTGAAATCTTTCACAGAAACGGTACGTTTTCAGAGAAGAGAAATGGAGACCTATATTTACAGGTTGTAACAACGACAATGATGAAAAAACAACAACTTTAAATGCAGTTCAATTAATTAATACAGCTATTGTTTAACCACTTATGTCCTTCCAATATGCTATCTTTGTACAGTGGAAACCATAATATAACAGGCCCAGTAATAACATATCCGGTAATAACAGGCATTTTTTAAATCCCCGTTTTTTCCTACTTTTTGTTATCGACAATAACAGGGCCTCATTGGAGCACGATCAGTTATAGCAGGGACAAAGGCTCGTTAAGGGGGGGGGGGGGGGCTACACCCCCAAACCCCCAATTCGGCTCAAAATCATGGAATTTTAGTTGTAGGCATTTTTAGCTTCCTCAGCCTCTCCTACAACTATTTCGTCGCTTAAGAACCCCTTAAAACTGCATTTTTTCCCATACCGGGCATGTTCATCACCACCATTTCCTCATAAAGTCAATATTGTATTTTTCAGTATCGGCCGTTTTCTCAAAACGCGACTTATCTCCATACTTTTTTTAATAACTCCACCAATTTTGATCCAATCTTCATTAAATTTTCTCAGAATGAAGAAAAGATGTAATACAAAATATTTGTCTGTTGAATTTTCGATATATGGAATAGATTTTTGTTGGTGGTGTCTGGAGGGTGGATTTTCACGGATTTTTTGCGAACTTGAATGCTCTCTCAGGAAAAAATTCATTAAAACTTTTCTAATTCGTTAAGGAAAAAAAACAACAGACATATTTTAGATCTAATGTTTGTTAACACGCATGCATAAAAACAATCAATTTCCACGAGCAGTAAGTGAGGTATTCATTACGTAAGACCTGTCAACAAAATTCAATATGACCGCCGTGTCCATGGAAACACATTGTTTTTCTCAAAATTGATTGCGGATTTCAAGACTCCTTACTATGCTCGTTATAAGTATGCAATTTGGTAAAATTTGGTCCAGTAATAAGCGAGATAGCCTTTAGGTGTAGCCCCCCCCCCCCCTTAACAATGTGTTAAAAGTAAGAGAGAGAGAGAGAGAGAGAGAGAGAGAGAGAGAGAGAGAGAGAGAGAGAGAGAGAGAGAGAGAGAGAGAGAGAGAGAGAGAGAGAGAGAGTAACGCAGTGATGGAGCAAGCCCACGCAAGCCACGCCACGGAAATCACACGCAGCGGGTGAAGCAAGAGAGGGCTGCGGTGTGCTCAAGGAGGTTACAGTACCTCTTTGGGTGTGCTGCAGACTTCGATCTAGCCCTAAGCCTAGCTACACGCACACATAATGTGTCATGTGCAGGGTGCTTGTGGGAAATGGAACTACCCATGAATAAATACAGCTGGATTAGTCCACAAATGCTTACTTCCCTTGCATTTCTGATTTAACAGGGATCTGATATAACAGGACTTTTTCTGGTCCCCGCCATCCCTGTATATATATCAGGTTACCGCTGTACTTAGACCATGACGAATAAAGTTGTATTTTTGATTACAATGAAACAAAAGTGAAAACTAAGAAGATGATTGCTGTAGTTATTCGTAGCAAGTGAAAAGTCTTAAATTCCCCGCTTTGAGAGGTGTGTCTGCATAAATACGTTTAAAAAATAACAAAACATTTACCGGCCTTCTACTCATCGAACATTTCAGCCAAACAAGGTATGTCACATTATACTACTAGATCTACATGTACTACTGTTGGTTTGGCTTGAAACTTTGACAAAGAGAGGTAGACTTTTGTGTAAAACTCCGTGAGCTAAAACCAGTAATGTGAATTTTTTCTTCCAGAACCTTCATCTGTTTTGATATCATTTGTGTTAGTAGTTACGTTTCTTCGGTACAGTGTCAATGTTGTGTTTTCGGAAATCGATGTTACGGTAAAACATCCCACCCTCCGAGGCTGAAACGATAACATGCAAAAAGACGTCCATACCCATATCATACCTGCAGCTTCTTGGAGTGGAGAATGTTGTATCTGGAATAGCAAACAAATACATTATAATATTTAGTGTTGTATGCGTTGTTTTCAACATTTCCTTCACTTCACTAATTAAGCTTAGTTAATAAATCAAACGACGAAATACTCAATTCAATAATCCACAATCCAATGTACTGATTCATTACACAAATTCATCCTTAAAAACTTAAAAAAAACCCAACAACATTAAAATTTAAAAAACATTCAAAAAAGACATAAACAAATGAATAAAAAAATAAATAAATGAATGAATAAACAATAATCACAATATAGTAATAATAATAATAATGATAATAATAATAATAATAATAATAATAATAATAATAGTAATAATAACAACAACAACAACAACAATAATAATAATAATAATAATAATAATAATAATAATAATAATAATAATAATAATAATAATAATAATGTGTATGGCTCTTTTCGTCTACTCTGTTGGTCAATTTAGCCTAAGATGGTCTCAAGGTTGTCATCATGCTGCTTCTTTCATTGCTAATTTTTCTTATGTTTGAAGCGCAGATCCTGAGGCAGTGCTAGCATGTCAGTGACAGGGATCGAAGCTCTGTATAAAACATTCTGCTGTTTTCCTTTCGTACACGTATGCGCTTCTCAGCCTAGTTGTTTCTAGGGCTGCTCTCTAGCATTATAGTTCTCTCCTTTATCATTTTCCTCCATGTTTTACTGTCCTCGGCTATTTCTTCCCAGAAGCTAACTTCTACTCCAAGCCTAGATAAACTGATTTTGCAGGTGTCTTTGTACTTCAATTCTGGTCTTCCTCTGGGTCTCTTTCCCTGGGCAAGTTCTCACAGAGAAGCTGCTTCTGAATCCGGTTGTCGTCCATTCTCTTGACATGGCCAAGCCTTCTCAATCTTTAAAAAAACAGGATAGTTGTCATGCTCTGGGGGTTTGCCTGTGCCAATACTTCAACATTTGTAACCTTGTCACGCTACGAAATGCCTAAGATATTGCGCAGCATCTGAGATGGACAATGTCGGGGTGCTATTCTTGCCTGCTGTACAAGGTCCATGTTTCAGATCCATAAAGGAGTGTGCTGAGGACACATGCTTCGTAAATCTTGATCCTTGTTTTGATGGTTAATCTTTTGTCTCCCCTGCTCTTTTTGCCAGCCTTCCAAAAGGTGTTGCTGCTTTTCCTATCCTGATGTTGATCTCATAATCAAGTGATGTTGTAGAGCTGATGGTAGACCCCAGGTAACAGAACTTGTCCGCAGTCTCGAGTTCCTTGCTCTGCTATGCACCTTCTTGAGAAAGGATGACTGTTTTCTTAACACTGATGACAAAGCTAAAGACCTTGCATGCTGTTGATAGGCGGTTCATAATTATTTGTAGGCTTGATTCACTGTGAGCTGCAAGAGCAGCATCATCGGCGAAGAGAAGGTCTCGTACTGTTGTTTTGTTGATCTTGGTCTTGGCCTGGAGTCGAGCAAGATTGAAGAGTAAACCATCCGTTCTCCAGTGGAGGAAGACACACTCTGGTGACTCTTTGAATGCGTTTTGCAGCAAGACAGCAAAATAAGAGCTAAAAAAGATTGGTGCTAAGACACAACCTTGCTTTACTCCACTATTGATGTTGAAGCTGTTTGATGTTGAACCGTTTTCGTGGAATGAGATGATGAGCTGAAGCAGTATTGGGGGGCAGCCAATGTTTAAAAATATAGTCCTCATCTACTGACTGTATCAAAAGCCTTTGTCAGATCGACGAACGCAGTATGTAATGGCAGTTATAAATGCTGCTGTAGCTGAGACTGAGCTGTGGATCTGATCCCACGTATTTGCTCTTTTGCAGCGTCCTCCCAAAAATATTGAAATCTTGACTAAGGTAAATGCCTGAGCGAGAACGTGCCTTGCCCAAATTGCACGAACCCCCTCTCGACTTTGCCGATTTAGTCCAAAGGAGCGACGAGGTCAGTACATTTGGAACCAGTAGAGTTGCAGGGGTTGGCAGAAGGTAGTTCGGATCGTTCCTCCCTGAGGACTGCCTTAGGGGCCCTCCCTCCAGATTTGTTTAGGGTTTACTCCCTTAGCCTTTCCTACTCCCGTACGCACCTACAAGACTACAAGGCAGCAGGAAAGGCAGCAGGTAGTACCATCTACTGCCAATATGGTAGCAGCTCTAAGGCTGACCTATTATTAATACTAAAAATAATAAT